AGCTCACGGAGGCCGAAGGCGTGAGACGCAGACAGGTGTATCAGGCAGCCAATGGGGAGCCACGCACGGTGACATAGACAGTGAATCGAGCGCAGGAGACGCACGCAGCCAATAGGGACGTCAGAGAGTGGGCGGTGTAGGAGGCAGGGTGATCGGTGAATCAATGGGGAAACCTGAATGGGGGTGGTGTAGGGTCTGGGATGAAGACAGAAGCAGGACAGCTAATGGGGAAGCATGAGCGGGATTGGCATCTGGGTGGCGGGGTAAATGGAATGGCTACAGGCGATGGGGGCAGCAGGCAGCGAACAGAGAGGCCTGAAAAGTAGGAGATCCCAGGGTTGCGTAGGTAGGTGGTTGAAAGCTAGAGACAGTGAACAGCCAATGGGAGCCACGCGCCGGTGTCGTAGAGGAGGGGTGACGATAAAGGATGCAGCGAGCCAACGGGGAGTCTGTGAGCCTACATGAAGCCTTCAAGGGGTGGTGCCAGGGCGGAACTAGTTCTTATGGAGGCCAGAAGGAGCTCGAGAGGCGGTGTGTGAGTGCGTCGGAGGCGGGACTGGAGGGACAGAGCCGATGGGGATGAAGGCGGGAGCAAGGAAGAGAGATGGCAGATAGCCAATGGGGGAGCCAGAGCTAAGTGGAGCCCTCAAAGGGTAGTGCAAAGGGACATAGAAGCGAGATATGAAAGAGCAGAGCCTACGGGACGTTATAGGTGGTGTGTAGGAGGGAATAAAGAGCCAATAAGGAAGCAGGAGGAGAGAACAGTGCGTAGGCAGTCTGGGCTATGGGGTGGTCAAGTAACAGAACCATAAAATGCCTCTTGTGAGTGGATTTACCTGCTCCCTAACCCTCCGTGACTCCCCATTGCCCCCGAGCTGTGAATCCCCAAAGCCCCTCAAGACCTAGACTGCACTCTGGTGCGAAATCTAAGAAAGCAAAATGAACTCTCCTGTCACAGTTACTGGATCTCCTCTGCCCACCTCCAAGCCTTTGCTTGAGTATGACTAGGCAAGGATGCCCCTGATTGTCATCCTCAGCATTCTCCAGGACTTGGCACCATTACTGAATGAATGGCCAGATGAAAAATATAACTTTTTTGAAAGGTTAGCTTTTTCTAAGCAGCTCAGCAAAACACTAAGCTTGACTATGCCGCCAAGAGTTGATTAGGCATGTTGGCAGACACTGGCTAACATAATCACAAATCCAAGCCCTGTCCTTCTTGCCCCACTCGGTCCTCCACATCCCACAGTGGCCTCACCTCCTTCCTATCTGCCTCCATCTCTTCTACTGTTCCCTCTCCCAAGAGAGCTGCTCTTTCTGCTTCCTCCATCTAGTCAACTCCTTTCACTCTCCCTTTGAGGTCTCACCTATGGGAACAAAATTGTAGCTTTTGTCCACTGAGCATGTCCATTCATACATTTCTCCTCCATCCTAGGAGGATTTACTGAACATCTACTGTGTGAAAGGTTTTGACTCAAAGCATCCCTATGAGGAAGGTGGTACCCCCAGCAGCTACCCCCTCTCCCTCTCATGTCTCGGTGTCCAGGGGTCATGGGTCAGAAAGGAATATGTTCAGCTGCAAGTATCAGAAGAATCATGAAATAATGGGAACTTAAATAGAACTTTATTTTTGTATCACCTAAAAGTCCAATCTGGTGCGTAGTTCAGGGACTCCTTCCTACCTTCCCAATTAGGGGCTTGTCTGTGGCCAAGTCTAGACCCCAGACTCTCATCCTTTAACAGATCCTATCAGCTCTCCTTTTACAATATTTCCCAAATCCACCCTTTTCTCACCCCCTCCACTGCCAACACCATCACCAGTCCCCTGAACTATTGCAGTAGCCTCTCTCTCACTGGCCCCCCTGCTTCTACCCTTATTCCTACAGTCAGTTCTACACTCAACAATCAGAGGGATCCTGTTAAATCTCATCTGCTCACAGTTCTCCTGTGGCCTCCTCCTACAAGGTCCTGCATTGACTAACCAACCCTCTTGTCTCCTCTCTCACCTCACCTCCTACCCCTCTCCCTCTCTCTCACACTATTATAACCTTACAACCTCCTTAGCAGACCTTGAGAAAATCAGACACACTCCCACCCACCTCAGGGCCTTTGCACAAGGATGTTTCCTCTGGAATTACTCAGATGTGTACATGGATCCCTCCCTCACTTCCCTTCAAGTCTTTGTCAAAGACCCCCTTCTCTGGGGATTTTCACCCACCTCTTTGTTTTTTTGTGGGGTTTTCTGTTTCTGTTTTTGTTTGTTTTTTATATATTTTTATTGCTTTCAGAGAGGAGGGGAAAGGGAAAGAGAGATAGAAACATCAGTGGTGAGAGACAATCATTGATTGGCTGCCTCCTGCACACCCCCTACTGGGGATCAAGCCCACAACCTGGGAATGTGGCCTGTCATGGAATCAAACCATGACCTCCTGGTTCATAGGTCGACGTTCAACCACTGAGCCATGCCAGCCGGCCCTACCTCTTTGTTTAATTCTGCCCACTGTCCCCCAGAAGCCTTCATTGGAGAGGATGTAGTCCAGTACAGAGAAGAGGTGATGAACTCTGTCCCTCTCTGCCTACCTGACCCCCCAGTTCTCACTCTGCAAGGGTCCTGGCTCTCAGCAGCAGCAGCCTCCCCCTCCCCCACACACACCCTGAGCCTCACTCAAGTAGCCTCCTGGGAAGCTTTGGGCCACCACTCTCAGTTTTCCTCCTCTTTCTCTGGCCACTCCTGTGACAGTAAGGGAGAGATGGTCTGGGAAGGCATAAGGGAGGTTCAGCCCGTACCTCTGACCCAGAAAGAAAAAACCAGCCCCTTCTCTCAGGAAGGGCAAGACCTGGGACAGGGAATGAGGCCTCAGCTTCTAGAACTGGCCTGGTTAATAGTTACTCAGCAAGTGTAAGAAATGTTCAGGCCCAAGTCCATGGGGAGCAAGGGGTCAGCTTCCCAGGACTCCTTCTTGACAAGTACACTAATCCTCCCCCCACCACCACCACCCCCGGCCGCTTGCTCCCAGCCATATGCCACAACTGTTAAGCCCCTGCTGTACACAGGGTTCCTACAGGTCTCGATCTGAGAACCTTACCCCACCTTGGTGCATCCCCTGGATGCCTGGCACACAGGCCATATTTGGGTCCCAGACATGTCCCACCAACTCAGAAGCTTCAACCAGTGAAAGTTTTGTTTTGACCTAATGGTAGGGAGGGTTGGGTTTGTGTGTGTTTTTTTCAATTGTCGTTGTTGGCTGGTTTTTTTAAGGTCTTTTTTTTTCTATTCACCTTTTTTTTTTTTTTTATCTTCACAAAGCCAAGCCATCAGGCCCCCTCTGGGCTTTTCCAGAAAGGTGAGTCTGAGTTGAGGAAAGAGGCTCTCCTTTTATTGAGAGGGGAGGAATAGAGGCAAAGGGGTGAAAGGGTGGGTCTTGGGCACAAGGTTTGTACCATGTGAATAAAAAGCTGTTTCCAATTTCTCTTCCCCAGGCCTGAAACCAGTCTTGCAGATACTTTGGCGTGAACGTTGGATGACACAATCCTGGGCCATGCCGGGCATTGGGGAGCCGGGGACTGGGAGTCTCAGCCATGGCCTGTCAGGAGAAGCCCCTGGGTGCTGGTCTCCCCTGTTGAGCATTGATTGGAGGAGGTGCTCGCTGAGGTGAGGAAATGCGGCCACCAATTCTTGGACAACCTTAACACCGCACAACCTTCAAGCCCCCCAGAAGAACCTGAGAACCTCCCTGTCATTGCATCCTAGTATTTAAAACCTGAGACTGTTGGGCTCAAGGAAACTTGGGGGTTTCAAAGTCTGGCACCAAAAGGCAGGGCCCTGCACCTGCCAGCTCTGTGATCTGGGACAAGTTTCTTGACTACTTCGCGTCTCCATTTTGTTCACCTGTGTAATGGCCATGATGTCAAGATGGACCTCAACGGGCTTTGGTGAGGATTGAATGTGACCATGTTGTTGTTGTTGTTAACCCTCACCAGATGATATTTTTGCACTGATTTTTAGAAAGAGTGGAAGGGATGGGGAGAGACAGAGAGAGAGAAACATCGATGTGAGAGAGACACATCGATTGGTTGTCTCCCCCATGCGCCCCGACCAGGGCTGGGGATCAAGCCTGCAACTGAGGTATGTGCCCTTGACCAGAATTGAACCTGGGACCCTTTAGTCTGAGGGCCAGCGCTCTATCCATTGAGTCAAACAGGCTAGGGCGTGAATGTGACCATTTGTGAGAAATGTTCAGCACTATGTCTGGCACATGGAGAATTTGAGATAAATGTCAGCTACGGGGATGTTGGCAGATATTTGGACTCCTAAAGCCTTGGAAACGGGGATTTCTCTAAGTAGAAAGTCACAAAGGCTGAGGCAGAAGCATCAGGCCATGGTATCCCTGACTATGAGCGGGCTGGGCTTCGTGAGGATGGGTGCATTAATACTGGGGTCCTGGTCAGGACCTTCCCCACAAGGTGGCCTCTGGGTCAGAGCTCTCAGGCCATGATGAAATGAGACTTTTCTCCCTGTCCTCACTCAGTGATGCTCAGTGGATTCTGGGAGCCAGTGATTCTCAGACTCTTCCATTCTGGGAACTGTGGGGCGTGGGGAGGACTCTCTGATATTTTCTCCATCTAGTAATTTCCCTCACCCTCTGTGGGAAGATGGGTTGCAAGGATGTCCAGAGCTCCCCCTTCCTGATCAGTAAGAACAGTGATGACCATAGCAATGCCACCTAAGGGGGAACTGAGGCCTGAAGCAGGGCAAAGCCTCTGGAAACCCAGCCCTATTCCATTTCTTTCCCTGGTGTTTCCCATCCACACATAGGGGTTTGGTGCCTCTGTTTCTTTTCCAGGAGAGCCTCAAATAGCCTCTCACTCACAGAGTAGGGTCTGTGAACACCCAGGGCGCCCTGTGATTTATTTGAGTTCTTTTCCTTTGTTGTTTTTCCTAACTCTACACACTTTTGTTTAAAAAAAAAAAAACTGTGGTTTCTCGTGAGTCCTGTTATCTCATTGATAGCTCTCACCTCTGTGGTGAGGGGAAGAAATATTTTCAGATGACTTGTAAAGGGCAAGAGAAAAACCAAAATTTCAAAATTTCCGTTTAAGTCTCATAATCAAGAAGAGGAGAAACGAGAGAGAGAGAGAGAGAGAGAGAGAGAGAGAGAACTATGAGAGCCCCCCCCCCACCCGGTGATAATAAGTGCACACAGTCATCGAAAAAAATTGGATTATTAGAAGAGAGAGGTGGCTTCCACACTGTGGGTTTTCTTCTCGGTATAAAAGCAAAGTTGTTTTTGATATATGACAGTTTCCCACAAGCCAGGCTGATCTTTTTCTGTCAGTCTACTTCACCAAGGTGAGTGTTCCCGCTCTTCCCCACCAGATATGCGGGTCCAGTGGAAGAGATGACAATGAGGTAGGCACTGGAGGGTCAGGAGTCCTCCATATAGTCCAAACACATGCGGCTACTGTGGTCCTGGTCAGGTAAGGTATTTTTTACAATAATAATAATAAATGCCAGAAGACTGATAGGTAGAGTACTTAATCTATGCTTGGGTGGAGGCAAAGATAATTAAATTGATACATAGATGGGTAGGATTTTTTTAAATATGTCAACTACCAATCTTTATGAATTTCAGATCTTTAAACAACTTGAAATGCTGTCCAGGTATAACTGGAAATTTCAATTACATCTCTCACCTCTCTTCGTCTCTTCTCTCTCAATATCGCCCATCCTTCTGTCTCTATTCGCCCTGTCTCACCTATTCCATGTTTATCTGACCCGCTCTTTCTCTGTCTGTTTCCCTGACTCAGAATTTCCATCCTTCTGTCTGTATCTGCTATGACCATTTTTCCTGTCTGTGTCCTCTGTCTTGACCACACTCCATCTGATTCCTTTCCTCAGTCTTTCTCCCACCATCTCACCTGCTCTCTTGTCTTGCCTTCCCACCCAGCATACGGCACAGAACTTTATACACAGTTGGAGCTCAATAGCAGTGTGTTGAGTAATGCTGATGAGGACATTTACATTTTATAAGAATGATCATCAATTCTGTGTGCTCTGATCAAAGGAGGACCATGAGCTGTCGGGTCAGGTTGTGGACTTAACTGAACTTGTTCTTGTATAAAAGCAGACCCTCCTGGAGGGCACTTGATGCCATTGTCAACTGTGGTTTAACTGTGTGGTCCTAATCCCAGGACCTTGTGTGTGTGTGTGTGTGTGTGTCCAGAGTTCATGTCCAGGAACAGAACAGGCTGTTCAAGGCTGGGATGAGTTCGTCTCTGCAGGCTTAGCAAGTGCTCACAAAGTTTTAGCTGTTAGTATTTTTTAACTAAATTAGAATCACACTATTTATTGGCTTTGTTCCTGCTTTATTCAATTAATAGGAGCATTTTTGTAGATCACTGAAAATTGTTTCAACATATGATCTTTCACGGCTGTCAAAACTGACCTCACATTGGCATGAACCATGATTGATTTGACCAAATGCCCATCACTGGACATTTGGGTTGTTACTCATTTTCCCCCATAATCATCCCTGATTAGTCCCTTGGATTCCTGAAAATAGAGTTCTTATGGCAAAGGATGTGTGCATTTTTAAGGTTTCTGACCCTCTTTGCAAACTGTTCTTCCAAAGGTTGTACTGTTTTATGCTCCCTCTACTCAATCTAACCCTGGGTGGGTATTGTCATTTTTAAATCCTTTCTCAACATAACAGGTAAGAAAAAAATATTACCACATTGTTGAAATTTACATTCTTTGATTACTTAACTGTTTGTTGACTATTTGTGCTTTGGGGGGTCTGGTGTCCTTCATCCTAATAGGGTGTTCATCTTTTTTTCTTATTGATTTACCATAGCTCTTTATTTAAAAGGATATTAACCTTCCATCAGCTCTACATATATAGCAAATATTTTCTTTTTCTATTTGTTCACAGTGTTTTGTGATACTTGTGATGTTTTTATATAGTCAAATAGATTAGCCTTTTCTTCTATGGTTACTGTCTTTGGTTTTGTGCTTAGAAAGTCCTTTCCCACTTGAAAATGAGATGTGTTCACATGTGTTGGAGTCAGACTGTCTGTGACAAACCCAACCTCACCCCAAGCCATCTGTGTGATTTTTAGCCAGGCATTTAAACTTTCTGTACCTCCATTTCCTCATACATACTGTGATAGTAATAATAGTATCTACCTCAAAGGTGGTTGTGAGAATTAAATGTATTAACCATGTTAAGTTCTTAGCATAGGGCCTGGAATACAATAAACCCAAGATCCATATTAGATATTATTATTTATCTTTTTAATGGATCTGGAATTTATTTTAGGTTATATGATGATGCTGATATTTCAAACTGGGCAGGGAGGGGTTAGTGGGAAAATGGACTAATTGTTCATTCAATCATTTTATTTTTCCCTTAATTATCCCAGAAACATTTATTAAACCATCTATCCTACACCATCGCCCAGTTTGGGCAGTCATCACAAACTCCATTCCCTGTAGTCATGGGTCTGTGTTTGGGCTTTCTTTTCTGTTCTGTTCCTCAGTGTCTGCTCTTATACTAGAGCCATACCACTTTGCTGATCATTGCTTTGCAACACAATACAATACCCAGCCCGAGGTGTAGCCCTCATGTTGCCCTTTGTTATTCCTCATCATTTCAGGCACCATCCAGAGGCCAGCAACTGTGTGTAGGCATTCTCTCTCTCTCTCTCTCTCTCTCTCTCTCTCTCTCTCTCTCTC